TCTAACTGTGTGTGTGTGTGTGTGTGTGTGTGTGTGTGTGTGTGTGTGTGTGTGTGTGTGTGTGTGTTGGCAGGTTTGGTCTTCTAATTATGATACAAAAACTATGGAAGAAAGGTCACACAATTTGTTTTAGAATTAATTTGTGCAATCTAAGAGACAAATGCTAACCTTTTTTTTCATGCCAAAATCTAGTAGAGCTCAGCTGTAGGATTATCATTTCCTTCAATGACCTAAGGCTACTTCGAAACTAGCTGTCCTTCCTGTTCCTGATTTAATAGATGGAAATGGGAGAAGGTGGTAGGGAAAAGTGGCAAGAGAGGAATAAGAAGGAAACATATGGGGGGGGGCGTGAAATGTTGTGGTGCTGAAATTCTCCATCTGCCTCTCCAAATCTACTCTCTACTCTTCTGTGCCTTGCTCTGTGTCCTGAAGAAGGCTGACATTTGTTCCTGGACTATACTAGGAAGCTCCCTTGTCCTCTGTCTACCAGCGGGAACACTAACCCATCAGCAGGGCCACTGGGAGTGGGGCAGGGGAGTGGGAGGACAGTGAGGTCAGAGTGCCCATTCCCCTGTTGAACTTCCAAGTGGCTACATGCCTCCACCATTCTCCTTTGGGAGAGGGGTCGTTCTTCTATGGCTACTTTTCTGGGATCCGCTTCTTCACCTCACCCTCTCAGATCCACAGGTACTAATGGTTCTACACTATTGTCAACCTTTGAACGCTTCACCATACTCTGTGGATTTCCCTGAACACTGCCATGCCTTTGTAAATGTCCCTCCATTAACATGCCTCAAATTCCATTTGACTGTACTATCAGCTTCTTGCTGAGAACCCTGAGAGATGATACAATTGTCCTCTAACACATATGCAGCACTAAGCTCTGACAAGACAATCTTGGAAAATCCCAAGGAGATAGGGTAACAATTTTTACTGACCTTTTTCCTTGGCCTTAGTAATGAAAAAGTGAATGGATGTTTAAAATGTAATCTGTAGTTAATTATTGATGGGATAATGTTCCCTTTCTTAACACTCACTCTCCTCTGGTAAGCCCAGCTCCCCAATTAACCATAAACAAAATGATGAAACTACTTTATGAATTAAGTTTTGAGCATCTTAAGTTTGAGATGCCCGAGGGAGAGCCTAGTGGTAATACTTTTTAACTGCTCAAAGATGAAATTGTTTTCCACTAGAGACAGTGAGCACCACATTGTAGGAAGTATTCAAACAGAAGCTGGAAAAAACAATGGATTGGTTATTGAACTTGCTAATTTTAAGGTTTTTTCCAATGTGTTCTTTTATGATTCATAGCTTTATGCTATAGCGATCTATCTACCACCATAATCTTTATTATGAAAATGTTGATAATTCAGTCAAATATTTTAATATAATAATACTTGAACAATATATACACAGACTTTTAAGCACAAAAATGTTAAAGAAATTTTATCTTCAGTATGACATGGTTAAAACCCCGGTTTCTGGAGACAGACAAACCTCTGATTCAATCCTCGTTCTCAATGAAAAACTGTGTCTTATGGAAGTTACCTAACATCTCTCTATATCAGCTTTCTCACATTTTTCTCATAAAGAGATGGTGGCAATTCAGTGAGATAATATCTAGAACAAATCTGGGTTTCTAATCAATATTAGTCCTCATTGATTTACCATTGCCATTAAACTGTTCTTCCTGCTACATCAATTTACAGTACAAAGGTAAATAAGAACACACTTAAAAAAAACAAAGTTGGAGGCATCATGCCCCCAAACTATATTACAAAGCTATAGTAATCAAAACAGTCTGGTACTGGCATAAAAACAGACACATAGATCAATAGAATAGAATAGAGAGCTCAGAAATAAACCCACACCTATATGGTCAATTGATTTACAATAGAGGAGCCTATGATATACAATGGGGAAAGGACAGTCTCTTCAATAAATAGTTTTGGAAAAACTTGACAGCCACACGCACAAGTGTGAAACTAGACTACTGTCTTACACAATACACAAAAATTGACTCAAAATGGATTACAAACTTGAATGTAAGACCTTAAACCATAAACCTCCTAGAAAAAAACGTAGGCATTAAGCTCCTTAACATAGGTTTTGGCTTTGACTCCAAAAGCAAAGGCAACAAAATAAAAAAATAAACAAGCAGGGCTATATTAAACTGAAAAGCTTCTGTACAGCAAAGGACATCATCAACAAAATGAAAGGGCAACCAACTGAATAGGAGAAAACATTTGCAAATCACATATCCAATAAGGGGTTATATATTTCCAAAGTATATAAAGAACTCATTGAACTCAATAGTCAAAAAAAAGATTAATAAATGGGGAGAGGACCTGAACAGACATTTTTCCAGAAAGGACATACAGATGGCCAACAGACACATGAAAAGATATTCAACCTCACTAATCATCAGGGAAATATGCAAATCAAAACCACAATGAGATATCACCTCAACCTGTTAGAATGGCTATCATCAATAAATCAACAGACAAGTGCTGGTAAGGATATGGAGAAAAGGAAACCCTCATACACTGCTGGTGGGAATGTAAATTGGTGTGGCCATAATGGAAAACAGTATGGAAGTACATGAAAATTTAAAAAGAGAATTACTATATGATCTAGCAATTCTACTTTGAGTATTTATCCAAAGAAGATGAAAAAAAAAACTAATTCAAAAAGCTATATGCACCCCTATGTTCACTGCAACATTATTTACAATAGCAAAGATATGAAAATAACCTAAATGTCCATTGATGGATGAATAGATAAAGAAGATGCAGTATGTATCAGTGTGTGTGTGTGTGTGTGTGTGTGTNTATATATATATATATATATATATATATATATATATAATAGAATAGTATTCAGCCATAAAAAAGAATGGAAAAATGGAATCTTGCCATTTGGGACAACATGGATAGGCCGCCTTGAGGGCATTATGCTGAGTGAAATGTCAGACAAAGACAAACACCCTATGATGTTACTCGTAGGTGGAATCTAAAACAAACAAACAAATAAGCAACGCTTATAGATACAGAGGGCAGACTGGTCATTGCCAGAGTTGAGGGGATGGGGATGGTTGAAATGTGCAAAAGGGGTCAAAAGGTATGAATTTCCAGTTATAAAATAAGTCATGGGATGTAATGTACAGCATGCTGACTATAGTAAAGAATACTGTATTGCATATTTAGGGTTGCTAAGAGAGTAAATCTTAATAGTTCACATCACAAGAAAAAGAGACATTTTGTAACTGTGTATGGTGATGGGTGGTAATTAGACTTATTGTGGTGATCATTTTGAAGTGTATATAAATGTCAAACCTTTATGTTATACATCTGAAACTACCATAATGTTATATGGTAGTTTCATATAAAAATAAGAATTCTCTTTTTTAATTGAAAACCACAATCAAAGTAGTTATCATCACATCCACTTCAGCATCTCACAACTTTGAGGACACCGTGTTACATGTTATGGATAATACATTCTATAAGAAAGTCTTCAAAAGAATTGTAACAGCTATATACGATGTCAGAGGGGTAGTGTGTGTGTGTGTGTGTGTGTGTGTGTGTATTGGGAGGGGGATATCACTTTGTGAGGGATGTAAAGTTCTCATTATTACATTGTTTTTACACCTGACACTAATTAAAAAAAAGTCTTCCCTGAACAAACTAATATTTTTAAATACTAGTGAACGAATTCTACTCATACAGTACTTGTCACCTTACAGCCATATTGCTTGGAGCCTCACAACTATGTTATGAGCAAGGCATTATTAATCTCCCTTTAAAAAGCAAGGAATTTATAAAGGGCAGAAAATCATAATCCTAGAGGAAGTGGTTTTCCACAGACTCATTCAGACATTTTCTTTGGTTGAGGAAACAAGATTAAAAAAAAAATTAAATTAAAAAATTAAACAACACAGCAGCACAGATGTTCTACATGAGTCAAGCCAACTCATTTCTAAGTGAAATTAGCAACTTCATGGGCTGGGGTAGTGGGGCAAGTAGAGAAGCATGTAGCCCAGGGGTTTAGAGCACAGGTTCAGAAAACTTGGTCAAACCCTGGCCTTTACACCTCCAAATGGTGTTGGTGGCACTTTGTGTCAGCCGTTCTATACCTCAGTTTCCCCACCTGTAAAATGGATGTAATAATAAAGCCTCCCCATGGAATTTTTGTGAGGTTTAAATGAGATAACCTAGTTAATGTGCTTGGCATAACTCTTACTTTGCAGAAAGTGTTTAATAAACACAGCTATTATTGTTACAGGACAAAGCAAAGGAGTCCCAGTGGAGAGCTAATTTGCCTAGAGTCACAGAGCTGGTTAGTGACAAAGCAGAGCCTGGAGCGCAGATCCCGTCCATTGTCCTTTTGTTATAAATGAACCATAGCTTAATTAGGTTTTGAAACATGGGTGATAAGCACTTCAGCTAAAAGAGAGAACAAGAGCTAGATATTCTGCTCTCTGCAGCCTCTCCATGTTGCTTTTCCAGGAAGCAGATACATCACAAGTATCTATGCAGGAAACATAAATAAACCAAATTCCTTCAGAATGGTATTGTCTTCCTCTTATGTGTGGGATTACCTGGCAGTCGAACCCCTGATAATGTGGTTCGTTTGTGATTTTGATAGGGTAGGTAGATAGATAGAAATGAGCAGGAAAAGGAGAACAGTAACAATTTGAGGGACCCTATCCCCTTAGGTATAAAAAGGCACAGGCTATAACATGGTTGCCTCTTGCTGTGACGGGTGTCATAGTGAGGCCCCGTGTACACAGTTCTGGCAGCACAGAAATGAATGTGCAGATTAAAGAACTAAAGTAAAGCCTGCAGTCATCTTTGGGACTAGCTTGTGCCTGGTTTTATAAACACTCCTTAGCTATTTTGAGTAACCAGGGACTTATCACTCCCAACCTCAATTCAGAAAGTATTCTGGTCACATGTCATAACCAGGAAAGCAGTAACCCTACAACCAGTTACCATAACGTCTGTGGCTAATAAGGACAGGCTCTATCATAAGACATTAAAGGTAAGTGAATGTGGGTAATCAAAACTTAACTAATAATGAAACTTTAAACAAGACTGAGTCTAACATGATTCTGTAGCCCTTTTCCCTGCTTAGATCGCTTCTGCTAGAAGTATTTGTTGTTCTTTTAAAGTCATTTCACATCAACCCCAGTCAATTCCAGTGAGCACAAGGTGACCCAAAATCTTTATTGGGCTCTTGCAGCATCATTTTCCTGACTTCTCTTGGAATGAAAGTAGAGCCTCCCTGGGTTTAGAAAGTGTTTTTCTGGTTAATGAGGACTGCACAGTTTTATTCCTAATAACGGTAGTTCCTTTTATAGTGTCATGTTTCTAGAAGAGATCGGATAGTTCGCATCCTTAAATGCCAAACCAGCAAAACAGTTGTAGCATATATTAAAATCTGAGTAGTTATGCAACAGGGTCACCGGTTCGATTCCCACATGGGCCAGTGACGCTGTGCCCGAGCTGAGCTGCCGGTGAGCTGCCAACAGGTGGCAGGATGGCTTAGCTAAAAAACAAAACAAAACCTGAGTAGTTATAATAGTCTATTTAATTCTTTAAGACTAGTAGAGAGACTGCCACACAGACTGTCAGCAGATTCCCAGAGAGGAACATAGACATACATTCCACTCCAATGTGTCTGAGCTGGGACTGAGCTGAGAAAGCTACAGTTTTGAGAACTTGTATATCAGAGAGCCTGGGAGCTGCCTTTCTCAGCTCCACTAGCTTGAGAAATCTATTCATCCTTCCCCTTTCTTAAAGAACAAGGTGTGCTTCCCTGGTAAGCACAATGAATTTAAAACTCACCAGTTTAAAGAGCCTTGCTCAAATAATGTCTGGATGTTAGCCAATTTATATGGTGCTGATATGGACGTTTCAAAGTATATTACCCAGCCATACGACTGTGTAGATTTCTTTAGTCTTTTTTGGGAGGGTCTGCATATTTAGCTTGTATCCCTCTAGTTGGCTCCTCCCTGTTTTGATTTCACTCCAGTTACTCAACTTCACCCTTAAAACCATGAAGAGTTTGGTAACCACTTTTCTCTTTAGAAAATATGATGGGTAGTACCTGATGTAGCGTCAGTGGTGTTACAAAAGACAGAAGGTAATGATAGTCTCATTTCTTACCTTAAGTCACCTTTCATTCTAATTCCACTGAGACACTTCTACGAAGAAGCCAGCATGGTGGGACAGAATCTGACTGAATTCCCAGCATTGCCACGCATGTTACTTTTGAGTTTCAACTTCCACATCTGTAAAACAGGGTCATAGAGTCAATCCTTAGGTCTCCCTGAGAATCACGGGATAACACATACAGAGCGCTGAGCTTAGTGCACAAAAAAGGGCTTGCCATGTGTTAGTTCCCTTTCCCTTTCTCTCCAGGGTGATTGGATGAAACGCTTGAGAGCCTGCTTACGAAAGGACATTGCAGTAGAAACTTCAAAAATTGTTCACCTGTGAACATGTCCTTCTTTGGTAAGGAACCGGAGAAAATTAGAGAAATTTCTAAATATGAAACTTGTTTCATGTAATTAAACTTAGAACTTTTAGACAAGAAGCAGCAAGACCATCCTACATAAGGAATATATAATCAAGCTGGAGATTAGCATTTGCCTACTTACCATCAGGGGACAATATCAGGCTACGATTACCGTGCAGACACTCCTGATGAAATACTGGGCTGGTTGATGTCAGACCCCAAAAGAGGTAAGCAACAGTTTCTTCCAATAGCATCCAAAATGGGGGCACAGTGTAGTGGAAAGAATACTGGTTTTTGACTCCAAGTCTTGTTACCTATTAGCTAATTAAACATCGATGACCCCTATTTTTGTTTGCTTTTTTAATCTATAAAACAGGCAAGGGGGTTTCTGATTTACTCATAGGACTATGTAAAGTAGAGCTTTTCAAACTTGAATATGTGTACAAAGTGCCTGAGGATCTTGTTAAAATGCAGAATCTGGTTCAGTTGTTTTTGGGTAGAGCCTAGGATTCTACATTTCTAGCAACTTCCAGGAGATGTTGATGCTGCTGGTCATGAACCACACTTTGAGAAGCAAAAATTTAGCAGACTGTATGCGATATTATACATGTAAAAGGACTTGTAAACACGTGGGTACAACAGGTAGAAAGTAATGCCATTAGTAGCAGCAGTGGTCATATATTCTACTGAGAAATGTTCTGTAATAAATAAGGCTACTGATGTCCCAGCCTTTCCATTCTATACTATTCTTTTCAGTGCTTCTAACAGTACTTATGTTAAGAATTAGTTTTTTTAGTGTGGTTAAGATGGGGCCCATGGGGATACAATATTGCTGGTGCAACAGAGACACTGAAGGAAGAAAAAGGAGAGGTAAAGAGAGAAGGAAGGATGGGAGAAAGTATAAAAGTACATTGGCTTGTAGGGGTAGAGGTGGCTGTCTCCTCTTAGAGATAAGGAGATGTGATGGAAAAAAGAGGGACAGCCTGCTGGCATTTTGCATCGAGTATGTAAGGACAGCAGCAAGTGAAGCTAGATTAAGCGAAGGTGTTTACATTGACCATGGAGAAATTCAGGGATGCTACCTTAAATAGATGTGGCTTAATAAATTTCCAGGCGCTACTGGTGATGCCTCATCTGTCTATATGGCTATGGTTACTCATAGGTCCCTGGGAGAGAAACAAAAACATGGAGAAATGCATTTTGACAAAAAAAAAAATCCCCAAAACCACATTACTTGTAGATCAGATCTAAGACCATGGATCTTGTGTGTGAGTGAGCAACATTTACTGAACACTCGTTATGTATAGAAAAGGATACCAAATGCTGTGTTTTTTCCCACGGAACTCGCACAGCCGTGATGGACTTGAGAGCAGGGCTGCTCTGCCTTCTCACCGTGTTTGGCAAGCTGGCCTTACCATGTAAGCTTTCAAAAGGCTTCACAAATAATTGTAAAATACTTTCTACTAATATTCAGACCAACGACAACAACAGAAAAAGGAAAGCAGTCAAAGGTAAAGCTCCCTAAAAAATTCTCTACTCAAACAATACCTCACAACATGACTCCCTCTGAAATTCCACCCCATCTCACCCTGTCCTTCCCTGATCCTAGCTCCTGCTGATTTTACCCATAGCACTTATCACCATCTCAAGACACTCAAGAGTTTTCTTACTTATTTTGTTATCATATGTCGGTGCCACTCAGACACAAGTTCACTGAGAGCAGGGACTTTCGTTTGCTTGGTCCACTGCTGAATCTTAGCAAGTGGAATTGTTTCTGCGCTTAGCAGTTGCTCAGCACTATTTATTTACGCCTTGGTGGAAGGCGTAAATAGTGAGATTTTCTAGGAGATAAGTTCTTAGCAATATTTTTTGGGAAGAATTTTAGAGAAAAGACTGTGTGGATTTAAACTTGCAGAGAAAATCTCTGGATTTCGGGAAACCGTATCTAGTGTCTCATTATTTAATTTTTTTTCTCTCAAATAAATAACTGTCTGTTTCCTACTAAAGCTGCTGCCCAATATAACACATTGCCCAAGATTTAATGAATGTTTATTGAACAGTGACTATGATCAGGACATCTTTTTTTTCTGCATCTGTCCAAAAGCAAGGCTCTCATGGAGTCATCCAGAGGGCTCCCTGGAGAATTACCTACCCAAGAGCTTTCTGGAGTATATAAAGTTACTTTTGAGCCCCTAAGAGATCTCTTTCTCCTTGTCTTGGTGACTAGGGAACCATAGGAATAGAATTGGGGATGATAGCTAACCTTTCTACAGTCAGTCACAGAGAAAGCTTTTGAGGGATCTCAATCTATCTCCCACAAACCTCCTGGACCAAGGGGCGGGGAGGCCCACAGCATCTCCAGAGGCAGAGAAGTGTGGTAGGAAATGCCACTTCCTAGCTGAAGCTTCCCAAGGAAGTGCCAGTTGAGCCGCAGTCAAGCCCCCATGGAGAAAATGCTTCTCTCCTTCCCTAGAGACCACCTATCTTGGGATGTCTTGAAGTTAGGGCCCTTCAGTTCAACCCCAGGCTCATTTAGGAGCTGCTGAGGTGAACACATTTTACTGTCTTAGCTCTTTAAAGGTGACATTGACAGTATCTAACAGAGGGTCATGTGACCTGACCTGACAAGTGGTTTAGTGAAAGCTGAATCCTATTTTTAGTCTTCATGCTGTTTTAAGATTTAGCCCAACTTCCAGACCGTCCCCTCCCCAGGTTTGAAAATGGCTTTATTTTACACTTTTCGGTGGGAAGTAAGCCAGCTTCTACGTGAAACTGATGGTTCCAAAGACATTGACGAACATTAAAAAATGTCTGAACATGGCTTCAGGCCACCCAGCCTATTTCTCATCCTGTGCTGTGCCTTGTGGAGCGTATGCAAGTTCAGGGTTCTCTTTGAAATTAGTGGCAGTTATGAGCTCGGAGCAACTCTGTGGGGAATGAGCAATATAATAAATGAGCCCCTTTAAAGACCAACCGTTGTAGTTGGGCTCTTTTTGTGTTATCTGACACTGGTTTCTCAGGGATGTTCTGTGGTGGGGCTAGTGGCCCACCAAGATATCTACTCTGGTTTCAACTTTGGGTTTGAAGGAGGGAAAGGGGATGGGGAAAGTAAGTTCCCCTTTTTTCCCTTAAAGAACTGGCCTAAACCCTTTTGCTATCCTTTTTATATCAACATCTGGGATAAACCATCCCACACCCACATGCCTTGAGTTAAAAATAAAACAAAAGCTGTCTTTCATCTGCATGTACTTACTGACCTATGCAACAACAAAATATAGCAATAATAACAATACGGAAATTAAAACAAAAACAAAGCTTTCATCTGCTAGGAGATAAAGCAGACTTATTTGTATATCGGGGTTTTCAGAGGTTATTTATGTAGTTGAAAGTAAAGAATATGACCTGGGATATTTTTCATGTTTCTCTGATGACATTACAGGTCAAGGTAAATTCTGATACCATGATGAAATTTCTTGAATATTTTTAAAACATAATTCAAGTTTTTTGTTTTAACTTTTGACTAAATATCCCTAAATGACTAGTAAACGTTATTTCAAATAATGAAATTCAATGAGAAAAATACATGCAGGTTGCCTTTAAACATACTTAAGACGACTGACTTACTTGGCCCAATTTTCCAAGTATAAGTTTGAATGGCTCTTTGAATGCCACGTGTTACATGACTAGATGCAGATTCAACTAATTTTTGCTGAGTGCCTTCTTTATTTCTCACAACCACACTGTGAGATCAATATCATTGACCCTACTTCACAGATGACAGAACTAAGGCCAGAGAGTTCCAATGGCAAGAAGCTAGTAAGTACCATAACTAGCATCCAAACCCAGGTCTTTGACTTCCAAATCCAGCCCTCATCCTAGCGTGAACCTGTAGCTACTTCTCAAGCTACAATAAGCCATCCCTCTCTGCAAATAAAGTAATATGTTGTTTATTTACAATGAGAAAGTATTGGAGCAAATATTGAGTTAGGGCGAAGTCCCTATAGGGGCGGATCAAGAATGATTGTAAGAAAAATAAATACTAGGTGAAATAGACTTCAAGGAAACTTGCATTTCTGTATACAAATGTGGGATAAGAAAGTTCCAAGGCCATATTATCATCTTTGAGATGTCTTCTAAAGCAGGGACAAAAATAGGAAAGTTTTTATAGTTATTGATTTTTTTTTTAAGATTTTATTGGGGAATTGGGGGAGGGGAACAGTGTTGGGGAATCAAGCAAGGGGAACAGACAAGTTGCTGTCTTTTTGTTCTTCAGTCTAGTTGTGGAGGGCGTTGCTTCACTGGCCCATGTTGGTATTATCATTGTGCTCTTCCCGGGTGAGGCAGTTGCTCACAGGCCATTGGAGAGCTGCTCACAGTGGCTCACAGCAGCTCACGAAAGCTCACGCCCACTGCCGGCCAGCCCCGCTGCAGCCTACTCTGTCGCCGGCGACTCACTGCAGCCCAGCTCCAGGTCGAGCTGTTGTTCACCATCTTAGCTGTAGAGGGCACAGCGTCACTGGCTCTCACATGCGGGATTCAAACCAGGGCCCTGCTGCTCAGAGCTGGTGTCCCAAGCCAACTCCTAACCAATGTGCCACTTGGCCGGCCCTATAGTTATTGATTTTTATAAAAGACCTCCTTTAGTTTACTTTCATATATTCTGCCTCATTTCAAAATGGTTCCAGGTAGATATCAGATAACACATAAATGAAGTATGGGTAAAGAACAAAAGGAAAAAATAATAAGTAGAGACCAGATGTAAATTAATACATGTAAATGCATTTCACACTGAGGATAAAGGCAAAACACAAAAACAAAACAGAAGAGCAGTTGTAAAATCATAATAACAATAATAAGGGCTAATATTTATTGAGAACTTAACGATTTGCCAGACACAGTGCTAAAAACTTTTACATAGTCTGTCTCATTCAATTCTCACTGCAGCCTTTGAGGTAGGTACAGTTATTTTCATTACTTTACAGATGAGAAAATTGAGGCACAGAGAAGTTAAGAGGCTTAAGGTCGACCAGATAACAGGTAATGGTGCTGGGTTTGAACCCCAGCATTCTAATTTCAAGACCATGCTCGGGGCCACCCTTAGCTTTATGCCAGGTAAACACATAAACACATTGTTATTACTCACGGAAAACCAATTGTTTCCTGGCATTTGGGTCTAAGGGGAACATCTCACTGTGCCCTCAGGAGTGGAACATGAATGGTTCAGAGGCGAGTGCCTTTCTCAACATCCCCCATGATGCCAATAACGCTGACAGGCTGATGGCTATCTTCTTGCTGGGTCCCTCCATGCAATGCCAAAATGCAATTCAGTAAAAGTGAGTAAAAGTAAAAGACGCCAAAACAATATGGTTCAAGTATTTAGTTTGGATGGTTTACCTTGATCATGAGATATAACCTAAACTATCTGGAGAGATGGATGGACTTCATGTCCTTCAAGCAATCCTCCATGGAGCCTCCTTAGCTGTAAACATTCCTTGAGCACTGCTCTGATGGAGAAAAAAGAAAAATCACAGCCATACAGAGTGGAGACCATAAATCTGGAGTGCAACTAATCTCAGTTGTGCCGTCAATGTTATTTGGCAGTCCTATTACAAGTGCTTCTCCCATTTCCCTCAGCTGCTATCCCAAACCTTTACCACTCTTTAAAGGTTTCAATCTTCTCTTTGGGGGATGACCTTATTTCTAAGTTAAGGATTAGCAGCTATTGAGAGTGGCTTTTTTCATTTTCCCACCCATTCACCCATGAGCCCACCTGTATCTGCACCCATTCTTTCCTTGTCCTCATTCTAGCAAAAGATAGGTTTCCTATCAAAGGCAATTCCACCCACTGGTGCAATGGACATTATTCCACCATGCTTCCTTAGGAAACTTGCTTTATAAATAATGGCCTTTTCTTCATTTCTTCATTGGTTATTCCCCTCAGCATAAAAGTATGTTCATTCTTCTCGCTTACTAAAAATACAAACAAACCAACAAACAGAAAACACTTAATG